GAGGTAAAAATTATCTACTTTTGGGCTCGTGAATAGAATATATTCATTTCAAAATTGGTTAATTTGTCAAATTTTGTTGGGTGAATATGACGATAATGGGGTTTATAATTTGTTGGCAAACTAATAAATATATTCCACCATGCATAGATGGGGACTTCTCACCATATGTATCAAATTACATTAATTAGCCGAAACTTTTGGATTTTTCATGTTGATAAAATCTTTTTGTCAAGACATTTTAGTGGGCTATATATGGACTTGGCTACCTGGGTCCGAGCTATCACCTCATGGGCCTATAATATATCTTTACGTTCAGCCACAATAAACTCAAGCCCATAAGTCTAATAATACCTTAAACATTCAATCTGGGCTGGAATTTGGGCCGGGCCCATAGCCAAGAGTTAAAGAGAAGACTTGCCACAAAATATATTGCAGTCTTAATAATATAATTCAAAACTGCTGTCTTGAAAGATGTTACAGTTCAGTTACGGAATTATTTCATTCGGATTCGTAACCGTTAGCTCAACTATCTCTAGCGGTTACATATGATTTAACGGTTACAAACTCCGATGAAATGGTTTTGTAACGAGACTTTAGCATTTTCCCTCTTGCTTGTTGTTAAATGCTCTCAATCCGTATAACTTAAATCTAACTAAACCGTCCTTTTCAATTAAGTTGGTCATTAATTTTCCTAATGATGGTTATTGCTTTAAATTCCAAACAAAGCAAAAACACAAAGACTGTTGTTAGATTTGTCTGAAAAATTTGACCGTTTAACCATTAGACAACCTACTATAGAATAACGTGCGAATGCCATTTTTTGAAAAAACAAAAAAAAAAAAAAAATATTTCGTCAAAAAACAAAAATATTGAAATTAAATGTGTGAAACATTAATATGTATATTTTCAAGTATACCATTAGACATGGCGACGGGCCGAACCGGCCCGTGGCCCAACCCGTGAACCGGTACTGGCCGGACCGAACCAGCACCGGTACCAGCATGAACAGTGGCGGGCTTTTGAACCGGACCGCGGCCAATGCGGGT